TACGTATCCCTATTTTCATATCTATCGAGATCTGGATCAGGAGATCTGTGAAGGATTTACTATCTAAATTATTGGTCGGATGTTGGTCATGAACCTGAAATTCGAGGTCCTTGTCTAGGACATTCGAGGTTTCTGTCAAGCACAAGAGGACTCCCCCTATATGTTGGACACTTACTCCCTGCCCATCATCACGCTCTGCCTAAAGGACGGTTGAGCGACTTATCCTTCAGCCATTCTATATCGTGAAGGAAGCTTCTTCCACGACATTTTGTGCTCGACACTTGAGTGTCGTACAAAACTCTGAAACCCACGAAAGGTCGCGCGATTTGTAAGTAACTCATGAAGTATCTCCATAACAGTCGGACACGTGTGTACGCATGGTTGAATGTTGTGGTCTCCTTTGCGTATGCGTTCCTTTTATGCATTTTTGCGCAGACCACACCCTTATATTTGTGCGCACTTCGAGTTATGGGTTGGAAAAAGGGACTAGGCATAGAGAGATGATGTGTCAAGTTTACATCTTTTTAAAAGTTGAGATGCGTGGTAGTTGTGATGTCCTAGTCAACCGGCGTAGGGCCGCACTTGGGAGATCAACGCCCCAAGCGTCTCTTCGCGTGCGGGTTTGATCAGGTGTGACCGCGCATACCCTCTATGCTATAGCACACGAGAAAACGTCCTCGGCTGATCCACCTCTGCGATTGCATATAAAAACTTTCGTACTGTGGACTGGTAGCTCGGTGGGCATACGCCCACACAAAGGATGGTGACATCTCCCGCAGGTAGAGGTAAGTTGTACCTCGCGGGACCCTATCCTGTCGCAGGGACTCGGGAGAGGTGTACCTGGCGCACTCGGCCGGAGCGGTGAAGCTCCCTAGTGTTTTATCCGACATGCTGAATTCTGCGTGACGCGACCGAGAAGGTTCCCGCTAGCAGGGACTGTGCGCTCGACATTGCCCTGGATTATTGAGATATTCAAAATTTAAATAATTCTCTGACTTATCTTCTGATATGGGCAGGGGACTTAAATATTATGCTTCGAAACAATGTCCATCTTGCCCAGTTTACTTCCAATTATACTCCTGACTTTACCTCTCTACTTAGTGATATGGCTTAAGCTAGACTATTTAATTTATGTTTAGAAACAATGTCCAACTGTCTATTCACATGCAACTATAAATATATTATTTTCAATTTATACTCATTCGTATTTCAGTGTGTGTGGCTTTAGGCTAAACCATTCTGCTTCGAAACAATGCTTAGTTTTTCACCAAAATCATCTCTCATAATAAAACAGAAGATTGAATCATTCTGCTTAGAAACAATATTCACTCTATCTTAAGTCACACAAAAGCATGAAGTTGGACCATTCTGCTTATAAAAAAATGTCAAACTTCAGTTAGGAAAAAAAAAAAACATGTAGACCAAGTAATTCTTCTTATAAACGATGTCTGGTCCTTCAAAAAACACACAAAAAATTTTGCACTGGACCATTCTGCTTAAGAACAATGCCTAACCTTTAATTGATTTGGTCAGACACACGCAATACCACCTTCCTCCCACCTTTCCCCAGTTCATCCTTTAGTCTTATTTCAATCATAAAACAATATTTGAGATTCACGCATGCATTCCTTTTAGTTGATTTGATTAAGTTCTAATAAGAAACAAGAATCATAGGGGAAGGCATGAATACTTATTACACAGACTAAAGAGATGTAAATATAGGGGTCTTAATAGGTATATACGTGAGAAGGAAGTTATGCCTGAAGATCCTTTGCCTCTAGACCCTGGCCTAGGTTCCGACAAAGCTCCCGCAATCGGTGGGTGAACCTCCCTCAAGGCCTCGTTGCAGTCCTACGGGTTTCTAATCCCGCTTGTCGTCTTCCTCTCATAACCAATAGACTAGACCGAGACTGAAAAGTGTAGAAGAGACGACTTCGCATTTTCGAGATACAAGGAAGACTCACTTAGACTCATATTAGAGAGTCTTGAATCCTTCAACCTCCAGAGGGTCCCGCAATGGTGGAAAACAAATGTAGTAAAATTGTCAAGTCAAAGTCAAAACGCAGAATGACGACCCTTTGGCGGCCCTCCAAATTGCAACAATGTCCCTCCCTTTGTAAAGCCTGATCACCCCCTCGATTCTACAGTGCCTCTCCTCAGACCAGACCGCAGCTACGCAACGTAGAAAGATTGCATTCAAATAGTGCACACCCCCTGTGCTTTGTTCGAATAGGAGCAAAACGCAACAATACATAGCATGCACAGTAGTCGTTCGCAGCAAATAGACCTAATAGTGCCTAGCAAGATGCGGCGAAGCATAGCAAACGGTCGTTGCACAGCAGTAGCTCGGCGTGCACGACAACAAGGTGAACGGTAAATTCACCTCTCGATGATGTCGAAAGCAAGCAGTAATTGTCATAGCAGATTGAGAGAAAAATGCACTTGTAACAGTTCGAAAACCAACAACATGCAGTAGTTCTCATATTATATTGAACTGTAGCATCCTACCAACAATCCCAATATCGAACTCGCACAGCGGGTGGAAAGCACGACAAGATGCAACAAACCTCTTTGTGCACGACAACAGCAGTAGTCGTCACCTTAAACCACACTAACCTTTCGATCTCTATTCCTCATTCTTGACACCCTTCTTACCTTTCTTCAGTCTGAACGTATCTTGGTTAAGACTATATCAATTACAATTTATCTTCACTAGGATATTTATATGATATCACAAGGAACGGTCCTATCGTAGCTATTTTTGCGGCACAAGATCTCGATCACCCATGGGACTAATCAAACGAACTCCCCTACCTAAGCTCACGTTGTAGGCTCTACATCAGGCTCAACATATCGACGAACGTGGCCTCTTCGACCAGGTAAGTGTGCTTCTCTTGTTTGAGTTCCTTTTTCTTTTCTATCTACTCTTGCATCCCACCCTCCATCTCGTTCTCATCAACCTTCCTTCTCCTAAAATAGCTAAAGTGCATACGTGTGCACTCCTCGTGGTACCAACAAAGGAATTTGAACCCCCTACCAAAGCATGGGGAGCTTCCTGCACCAAACGTCCACAGATAGATCGGCTTGCTTGAGTGCAAGCTAAGAATGAATCTTCTGCTGGAACGTGACTAGATGCACTCTGATGGTAAGTGCAATAGCAGCAACGAGGATCATCATGATGATGGAGGTGGGCATAACAACTCCCAATCGTGAAATTTCATAAAATGAGCACCACGATCGTAGTGATTACCACGAAGGTTCACGGTCGGGATTGGGAATATGACATGCACCCGTGCAAGGGTGATTGCGAAGGCATACTGAAACGCGTGGATACAACTGTATTCAACAATTGTGCAAAATAAGAATGGATCTTCCGCTAAAATAGGGAAGGATACATTCAGCCAAATTTTACTTTCTCTTTTCCTCTTGCACAGCTCAAAACCGTTGGACCATTAAATCTACGCCCCCAACGCCAAATCTTTCGGCACCCTCGTGTCGCCAATGCCGATAACCTTAGGTTAGTCTCCTCCCTCACTCAATTTCATCGAAAATCGAACGAGATATCCGTTTTTTCGCGTTCCCCATATCCTTTTGTTCGACACTTTCGTGCACTCCCCTTCGCTGCTAACTTCAACTCTACTAATCTAACACCAAAACTAACATCGTTATAGAGCTCGCCTGGTCCAAATACCCTTAACTAACACTTTACTTCGCTCGTTTCTACCGAGAAACGAGCGAGTAATTCGTTCTTAATCCTTGTCATCATCTCCCTCGTCATACCTTCGACATCCTCTTCCTCCAATCTACCTCTGTACCTGCCTCGGATTTGCACCTAAATTCACTCCATTATTTTTCCTCTTCCCTCCTTTTCTCTCTCTCCCTTATCTTCCTCTTCTTCTATCCCGATCGGATCTCTATTGCGTCACAACGGGGTAGAGAGTATGACCGTACTTGTAGGGGAGAGCAAACGATATCCGTGGAGTTTATTAGTCGCAAGTTGAATGTCACTATGGACACGAAAGGCAGATAAAGACTACCACAAAATCGGGCATGACGAACCACGTGATCATCCAGAGTCAAGGAGGCGGCCACGAAAAGGGGGGGGATGGAGACGAGCATCAGGATGTTGACTTTCCTTGTGCTCAAATAATGGCAATAGAAAACGAAAAGGACGATCACCGCCAACTGCTTGATAACAGTCATGGACGACACCACGATCACCACTCATAGCCTGGTGGTGAGTCGGAGGGGCCGTGAAGTTGGCCTTCACCATACGTGTTAAACGAGAATGAATCTTCCGCTATAATATAGAAAGATACACTTTGCCCCTTTCCCATTTGTCTTCGCTGGCCCGTAGCGCATCATCCCGTTTTCATGATTTTCAAGTCGGGTGAACAAACTCAAGTTATCATAATCAAGCACCAATTACATAGCGAGGGGAGGTCTCCTAGCCTCTGCGAGTATCGCCTCTACGTTGGGACCATGTTGATTCCCTCTATATCATTCCCACTGTAACGGATGTCCTGAAGGACCACATCCCTGCCACGCCGCGAGGTAGCATCATCGAACTGACTAGTTTATAAAAATTTCAAAATTATTTTATTTTGGGCATCCGACCACATCTGAACTTGAACACAGGCATGTGTTTCAACGGTCTATGGGTGTACCAGCTGAGCTAGGCCCATTGGTCCCACACCTGTCTCTTATACACATCTAGATGTGTATAAGAGACAGGTGTGTGTGTGTGTGTGTGTGTGTGTGTACCGGCTGCGTGTGCGTGCTGTATGGTAGATCACGTCAGTTTGTATGTGCGCAAGGCATTCCACATGTGCACACAGTAGTGGAATAGGAAAGTCCGACGAGGCAGAAGAAGCAAGCGGCTTGATTGTTGCAATGAGAGGGAGAGAACTCAGGAATTAGAGTGGATGTTTTTTCTCATAAGGAAAAAGAAAGAAAAGGACTGAGACTGGATAAATGGTGGAGAATCAGAGTTCACCCACCTGATATTTGCCGAAGCAGCGATGGCCGGCAGTTACCGCGAGGCGGAGGCGAGTGCAATCTCCTTGTTTGACTCAGAGGGATTGCCGCTCCCGCACGCTGCCACGTGTTCGCATCTCGCCGCAGTTGCCCGGTATGATGAGAGCAGGGGACACGTGGCATCGTGACAAGATGAGAACACGTGTCATCTCGCTGTTCGGTGTGATGCTGAGCACAGGGGCCCTCCCCGATCATCGGCCGTCTGCCTCGGCGTTGATACTGTCGTCGATCTTGATGCAGTAGCCTCCCAACAGGTGCCACGTGGCGCACGCCGCTCTGCCCGCGTCGCGAGACGGCGGCATCTGCTGATGCCGCCGCTTTGCCTTGCGCGCCGAGCCCCCGCCGCACATGACGCGCGACGCCGATCGCCTCCGCAGTCCATCGCGACAGCAAGGCTCGGCGCGCAAGCTGCGCTTCCCCCAAGGACCACAGCCCAGCCATGGCGGCACAAGCGCCACCAATATGCCACGTGGCAAGTCGATCGACGGCTATCCACGTGCTGACGTGTCACGCCTGACACCAGGAGATTCTTGATTATCGATTTCGCGCTGCTACTGCTAGAGCCTCGGGCGACAGACAGACTTCGCCGGCCCGCCAGCAAAACACTCCCACCCCTGCCTCTCTCACACACCACGCTCTCCCCCTTTTGCGCCGACCCCTGTCCATCAATCACAATTCCCAGTTGCTTCCCAGAGGCTTGGCTTCATTTGCCCTGGGCAGGAGGGGGGGCCCGCCAGGCCCCACTTGCCTGGAGCCTTCATTCTGAATCGTTGATGAGAGGGGGATTGGACGGCCAAGAGACGAAGAACTGGGTAAGCAGGAGCTCACCCGGGGCCTAGGTCTAAGGGGCAGGCCGCGTTGGTGCTATTCGCAGCCCTATAAGCACCAGTACATGCCAGCTATTGGCTGCGGGCCGCTTTCCCAGGCCGCCCACCGCCTATTCATTTTGTCCCCTTTCCAAGGCCCCCCACCGCCTATTCGTTTTGTCTACGGGGCTCAGCCTCCTAAATTTTCGGAGAGGCTCTAAACAGGTTCTCCAGCTGCCTGAGGTACAGCAAGGTCAGAAGTCTGTTCGCAGCCCGTCAGGGGTGCGTTATTCCCCCTTTGAGACATGGAGACATTTTATCCTTCGTTATACCGGACATGGAGACATTTTATCCTTCGTTATACCGGTCATTCATTGCTGGTCGTTTCGTCGTTGGAAGGCTCAAAAAATGCAAGAAGGTGCAGGTATGGCACTTTGGGGGGGGGTGGCAGTTTGTCTGAAAAATGAGGGACTGGTAGCTGCCGGTGGGACCAAGCTTTGGGTTTTGGTCGGAACGGGTTTTGGTCGAAATCGAAACGGTGGCAAAGCAGGGGCAAATGGAAAGGGTGCACAGGACCGGGGCCAGGGGCTGAAAAGTCCGATGAAAGTGCGCACTCTCTCTCTCTCTCTCTCTCTCTCTCTCTCTCTCTCTCTCTCTCTCTCTCTCTCTCTCTCTCTCTCTNAAAAAAAAAAAAAAAAAAAAAAAAAAAAAAAAGGGATGGGAAGGGGGAGGAGGACCGCTAGCAGCTTCTTGGTTCCGGCAATCAGGCCCGTGGTCGGACCGACAACAAAACCAAGGGGGATTGCCTTGCAGGGCCTTCAACCCCTTGGTTGCCTTTAACCAAAAATTGCTTTCTTGCTCCACCATTGTTAATTGTTGGCCTCGATCCCTGAATCTCCCTGATGAAAGTTCAACACCGTAACCAATAATGCTAGGCCTGGGGCTGACATTTATAACTGCAAAAATCCATATAAATGGATAGCGTGTCTTATGTGGGCCTACCCAAACGCCGCAAGGTCACACCTTGGCCTACCAGCCAATATCCATGGCTGGCGAACCCCTGCACTCGATGCACGAGGGGCTTGGTTTGGCTCATGGCCGCCTCATACACCATCTATCGCACTATGGTGTTGCCGCTAGTTCCCCATGTACAATATTCTTATATACATCACATACCCAACACCACAACACTTAAAAAAATGGTAAATTTTCTTTTAAAAGTGGTGTCGGTAGCGAAACTTTGAACGTCAATCTCAATGGATATCACCCTTAAATGCACGCATGCACCACAGTTCAATGTACTGACCAAATGGAAGATCACTTAGTCCTAAATCAAAAAATCAAAAGTTGGTCAGCAGATGCGCCAGCTTTATAGAATCTACAAGAAACATATTGCGCGCCTCAAAACTACGAACCCACGCAATCTCTACTTTTCCTCTGAACAAAAAGTTTGTCAAAAAAAACACAAGTCGCGGCTCACACGTTACACCCAACTTTAGCTTTCAATTTCTGAATTAAAATTATTTTTTCTATCATTTGCAAAAAACAAGGCGGATACCCTAATAAGGGTATTTGTGCCGATACCGGACAACACTTGCAGGCACCCACGCTAGGCCATGACACCGCTTCAACCCCAATTGAAGCACTATTGAACGAATCTTGTCGTACAGACACTTCGGTCGCTAAGTGTGGTCGTCTTACACTTTCCTATGAGCACCCGCCTGGGTTGGTCTGGCAGTGAACACTCCACAAGACTACCCCAGACAATGTCTATTAGTCCTACCTTGACCAAGGTCTTACCTAAGCCGGCCCCTGACTCGACCCGGGTGATTCCCAACATAGCCTACGCGTATAATGTCATGTGGGGGTGCAGCGTTGTCGTTTCCATAACCCACACCAGTTCGCCCCAGGGCCACTTCTGCCAGGGAAAACCTTCGACCAAAGTTGATTTTTCCTGTGCTCTTACATAGGGAAAATACTGAAATAGGAGACCCTTCAAGTGAACGCTTTAGGAACCCCCTTTCGGTTTAAGAGGTTGACGATAAAAGAAGCCCAACCTTGTTAACGAAACTTACAACGAAGTGCAAGTACGAGTCTCCCATCGCGGGAAGGCACGAGGCATAAGAAGCGGGGACTTGGAGTCAGGATGTGGGATCATGAGATATATATGTTTTAATTTATCAATCAAAAGAGGATAATAAGATAACCAGAGACATGTAAAGAAAAAAAATAGAAGAGTTCGTTCGGACATTGACTAAATTTAGATACTCATGAATCTTTTGTGTTTCCTTTTCATATGCCTACAGTACTTGCTGTTACCGTGCTTTTTCCAAGTAGAGAGGCTGCAGCGGGATATGTAGTTCAGGCAGGAAGGCGAGAAGTAGACTTAGAACAAGTTGGTTGCACTTGCAATTGTATTTCCATCTGGAAGAGAATTGAGGATGGATCGTGGCACTGTGAGAAACCCGTTGCGAATCTATTTATTTATCAGCTCAGCTTATTTACAAGTCTTCGAGCCCAGTTTCGTTCGAACCCAGCATATGGGTTGGATCGACCTATCCATTATTTATCTTAGTAGCAAATCCGGATATCCCGCAGACCAATTTCATCCGGATGAAAATTCCGGATTAATTCCGGATATGGAAAATCCGGCCCTGCGCAAAATATTTTTTTTTTACCGAAAAAAAACAAATTCAAAAAAATCTGAAAAAAATTATGTTGTTCATATCAATGATATGAACAACTTTTGGCTTGAGGCCATCTTTGATTACTCAACAAATATGAAGATAAAAAATAAAACAGAACAAAAAAATAATATTTAGATAAAAAATTATAAAATGAATTAAGCCTCCTCCCTCTAAACCCCTTTATTCCCTATCTTATCCCCTTTGAACCCTTCCAGGCCCTATCAAGCTTTTCATAAAATAGGAGCGTAGTTCTATTGTATTTTGCATGCGCAATATCACTTTTTTTTTTTTTTTTTTTTTTTTTTTTNTTTTTTTTTTTTTTTTTTTTTTTTTTTTTTTTAGGCTTTTGTTTTAATCATCCGGATTTTCGGATGATCCTACCCCCCGATCATCCGGCCAGATAATCCGACCAGATTATCCGGCCAGATAACCCATGCTACCTAGTTATTTATGGTTGATACTTGAATTGTATTATGATGCTCGCATAGATAATTTCGATGATATCAAATTCCTCGAACGAATTGAGCAAACCGCTTCAAAATTATCGATAGGCAGACCTTTGATGGGATTACTCATTCGCTCGAGGTACGTAATCTGCGGCCACTTCTCGAAGCTTAGAGTGATTCAACTGATATAAGAATATAGCCTAAGGAGAGGAGTAAATCATGACTCTTAACAGAATAGAAAGTTTTTAACAAATTCAATTGAATCTCTACAGATGTCGAACATATCTGCAGTGACAAACTTCTTTTGTACGTGCGAGGAAGCGAAAAATTGGATATCAAGCTCGAAAGAGGATGGGATAGGCATGAAACGGACGGGACGTTTAATTTATGATTCATCTATCGTCTTTCCTATGAGAGATAGACCGAGATTTTGGGAAGGAAGTTTGAGGCATCATTTGAGAAATTGTTTATTTCGTACCGGCTCTACAAGACACATCATTTGGTACGGATTTGCACCTCGAAAAAGTGATGGAGTGACATAACTGATGGTCCGACACAGCGATGAGTGAGATCCATACGCCGAAGATATTTCAGAGGTGAAATGATTTTTATATGCAATGCTCCTGCGTTATAACGAATAGCAATAACATTTTGCTTATGTTCATCATTATCCTTGGACGCCTGACAACAAATTTCGGCGTTCCAGGCGAGTTATCTTTCTTACTAGAGTGAAGTTTGAGCGAGAGGAACATCGACTTTTTCAATTGATCAATGCTTGATATGGTTTTTCTCGTAAACAGATAAATGGTGGTCAACGAGACCTCAATATGGCTAAGTATCTCCTTATTTGCGATACACCTGATGACGGTGTGATAAGAGGACCGGAGCGACTTTTGATGGTTCGAGATGGCGCACCTATACGATGGATCGACTTCATCGGAATGTTTTGGGATAACCAAGGATTTTTCTAGACACTCACGCAGATGTTCGAGCCAATACGTTCGAACTTCTGGGGAACTTTATGGTTACCTTTATATCTATCACGCAAGTAATCTCCAATGATCTCCCGAGTCGTTGTGAGTATCAAGATTATCTCGTCCGACAACTGTTTCTGCGTTGTTCAGATCCGGGGCACGGAGATTGGACATTGATTTAAACGGAGTCGACCCTTTTGTGCCAGAGTATGGAGGTTAACCTCACGGATGACCTCGCTCTATGACACACGTACTATTAGAGTCATGCGAGGTGGGCGCGTCACAACCTTGATATTTGATGATGACGAGCTCGCACGCTTGGACTCGCTGGAGGCTCAAACCCACGAGAACGTCAGATTTATCATGATTAGACGCTACCTCTAAAAATTCTATTTGATTTTCAGAAACATCACGTATCAATCGTCTCGTTGAGGAAGTCATTACACTTATGGCTTCACGAGGTAAAAAAAATAAAAATAAATAAAAAATTATGTAGATAGGACCGTTAGATGGATGGTATTCAAATTACCCCGATGACTTTACCATTATGCTTGACATTGAGGGGTAAATGCATAAGAAAGGAAAAAATAGCAAACACATGTTATCGATCAAGAAAGTAAATTTGTGATGAATAG